GCTATAATCTAACATTTTCAGATTGTTTACAAATTTATTTTAGCAAATTTTCCTCTAGTATGCATAGAATTGGTTAAAAACGTAACAGAAAATAGCAAAAATATTATTGATTATTGAATACCTAACAAAATATGAGCTAGAAAACATTAAAAATATGAGAAATTAAGAAAAATTCGATATCGAAATTATTTTCCGTTTTTCTGAAAAACAGTAAGAGACCGCCAAAAAAAAGTTCAGATTCGTAATCTACGACTTCAAAATAGGGTGTATACCAATTTTGGTGAAAATCGGACGATTTCCAGTTTTCCCAATAATTACCAAAAATGTCAATTTTTTATTCATTTTTACCTTGCCCCCCCCTAAATTTCATTCTTCCGGCGCCCATGAATGCGTGGCTATTTATTTTAAGAACAAACAAATTGTCACTATATTTATTTAAATCCAACTTGAAACCCAATATTGCCCTATAAAAGATATAAGTAACAATCGTTATGCAGATATGGAAAAACTCTTATTTGTTTAAAACACTCCAATATATTTTAACAGATTTTTAAGCTAGTCGTCCACTGGATAAATGTTTCACTTGAATTAATTCTCATTGCAAATGGGTAAAAAATGCAAATTACCAGGGCCAGACTACGTTAATAAATTCTGGTCTGGCACTCTAAGCTTTAATAGTTTTTAATATTTGGCTCCGATGCGTCAAGTTTTTGTTCAAATGTCCACATAGAGGATTTTTATTTATTATACCAGTTAAAATTCTTGGACTTATTTAAGGTACATTATATTTTTTAACAAAGTTAGTTCAAATTAAAACGCATCCAGCAAATGACTAGACTCCTTTTAAAGTTTATAAAAATTACTCATTTACTACGCATATATAAATATCTAAATTACTCTATTAATTGATCTTTCCTACTCACTTTATTTATTTATTTTTATTCTCTACGTTCTGCCAATAGTTCATTAAAGTCCATTTTATTCTCAACCGCGAAATATATTTTTATTAAATTTAATTTTATATTAAAAATATAATATTGTACAACAGGTGAATTCCCATCCACAAAATTTTATATTGTGTGTTGTATTACAACATATTATGTCCCGTTTTTTTTTATATGGAATAATGTGTGTAAATACAACACACAACATTTTCTTTATAGACGCAGACACACCCTTAATGCACAGGATATTATACAAAATATTAAATTATCTCGAGAAAGATTTAGAAAAGTTAAATTAAGACAATCTCATGAGGATCTCATTTATTATTTAAAGTATTCTGCTAATTATATTATGACAAACAAAATAAGTTTTTTTAAGAAACATCTTGCATTTTCATTGCTAAGAAAAGACCAAGCGTATAGAAAGCTTCAAGCTTAAAAAACCACTGTATTTATTTATTTTAATCATTTTTTAGTTTGTTTTTATGTCTCTTTTCCAAGACGAAAAATGTATAATATATAATTCTAAAATATTATTGCTAAGGCGTTTGATATATTTATACCATACAAAAACGAAGCTATCATTCAACGAGATATAATATTGTATGTTGAGTTATACGAATTTTTCGTATACCTTGTGGAGGATAAATCTATAATCTCCATATTGTAAAATTGCAACATAGTTTGTATAACCTCAAATCTTTAAAATATCCACAATGAGGTTTGTTTAGTTTGGTATCTATAACACACTAAAACACTTTTTTTGATACCAATATTAATATCAAGAAAATATTTTTACTGTATTACAGAAATTTTTATATTCTTCAATATGATAGCCACAATAAAAAATTTAAGAAATGTTTGACATTTCTTATTCACTGGCTCTTAAGTAGATTTTTTTTCACAAATTGACAACAAGCACTTCAGTTTTATTTGAAATTTTGGAAGAAAGTGTTTTTATAGTTAAAAATAAGAAATAGAACTCATTAAGACATAACAATATAGGGAGTATAATTATTATTTTTTCTTTCACACAAAGAAGAGTTTAATTTTGTAACTGACAGTTATTTTTTTATAAAACTCATATTTGTTTCTTAATATTATTTTATGTTGCAATTAGTTTTGTTATTTTAATGCCTTTCTCTAACCCAATCTGAATAAATTAATTAGTTGTAATGTCGCCATATAGAAAATACTGGTTGAAACAATAACAACAAAAAAAAATCCTGCAAAAATCGAAAAAATGTACAATAATTTTAATAAACATCGTTCAAATTATACAAAAAAAATCATAATATTTACAAAATAAAGAAAACCCCTAGTCTAGGTGTCAGTATTTTTCTTATCAATACGTAATAAATTATATTTACTGATATTTATATTTACATAGAAGATTTATTTGAATGAAATGGCCGATTATCACATACAATTAATTATTTTTTATTATTTTTATTACATGGAACAACTAGTGGTGCTTTTTTTAAATTAATGAAGAATTATGAAATTATTAAAAAAAAATACAATAAATTCAATTAATTTGGCTATAAAATTACATTTTAAATAAAATTTTGCTCTAGTTCAGTTATCAAATTTTGCTTCACAGTGAAAATCGTTTTTCCAGTGAAATATACCGGTGTTTCAAAAAACATGCCCGTGAGAGATTTATCACGTAAAAATAAGATTTATTTTTTATATTGGCATTATATTAACATTAAATAAGCGAATTATATCGACCATATTAGTATCTCTTTGTACTTAGTACTCTTTGAAAATTTGTTACATTTTTAAAATAATCTAAAATGTCAATATTCCATGGGTATAGTGATAAATGAGGTCTAAATTATAAGAAAATGCTACTTCTACAAAAACTTGAAGAGATAGGTAAAAAATGGTATAATACAATTGGATAGACAATTAAATTGTGCATCTGATTCTCGTAAAATATACAGGGTGTTCCATTTAAATTAAACAAGTTATTGGCGTTTAAAGCTAGTAATTATTTAATAAAAAATTTTAGACACCCTGTATAAGGTAGTATTTCGTTTATTATTGCAACACAATATCTGATCAATAAATAAACTTCAGTAATTATTTAGTATTAAAAACTTAGATACCCTTGGAGAAATGAAGCCTTAAAATTTTTACTGCAATTTTTAAACAATGAAACACAATTTTATAGACGAGTGTTCTCAATAAACCCTTAAAGAAAAAAATAAGTTAAAATACAACTTTATGCCATACCAATAATATGTATTTACTTATAATTAAATGACTCATACAAAAGATCTATCTACGTTAACCTCTAGGGTTTTGGCAGTTACTTCGAAAACGTCTACGAACAAACCTAAACAACAAAATCTGTATCACTTCAGGTACAGTAACTATAAGTACACCCTGTTTATAAAAAAAAACATAATCGGTGAGGAAGAGTTCCAGCCTAAACGACTCTCCCTCACGCTAATATTCCTCACTAAATCGGCCATTTCACCTTACACGTTCTCGAAAGAGCTACTAAACTCTAACAATTTTTATTTTTTTATTTGTCCGGAAACCACTGTACAGGGTGGGTCAAATTCGACGCTTTTAAATGGAAACACCCTTTTCTATAGGAGATAGACAAAAACTAATATCGGTGTCTGGAGCTCAATTTTTGTCAAAAACATGATGGTGAAAACCGCATATCGATATCTGTTACCGTTTCGGAGTTACGGGGTGTTTTTCAAAAATATGCATTTTTAATAAATCGCTGTAACTTTTTTGCTATGGAAAATTTTGTATTTTTATGAAAACATTTCCAAAGTACCTTTTTACGTAGAATTTAATGGTTTAAGTATAATTTTTTTTAAAATTAATGATTTAAGAATTATTAACAGAAAATTTGATTTTTTATATGGGACACCCTGTATATTTTAAGTTTATTGAAAATAATTTAAAATTACCTTTACAAAAATATAACACACTTGATATTTTGCTCGATTCCTCTTCGAGATATAAAGTATATAAAAATTTGCCCGCTTTAAATGAGTAGGCTTTGAAAGGCACCGGCTATAATGCAAAAAATTCAAGCTGTGAGCATCAATTAAAACGAAAATAATATTTGTTATGAGAGATGCAGAATTTTATAACAATTTAAAATATATTTAACCAACATCAACACATTTAAACTATATCTAATAACAATAAATATAAATAGCAAACCAAGTCATGAGATTTTGCTACAGGTGTTCGACATATCGACCGTCTTCTGTTATGGACAGACGGGGCAGTTTTTGAACATTTCTCGCGGAATTCATTAACTCAGTAGGGGTGAAAGATACCCTCTCATAACTGCTAAGTATTTCTAGTTCTTGTCTAGATTATACGGAAGAAGGAACCTTTATTCTTCTGCAAATATATCCATAGGATTAGATCCATGGGCACTAAGTCAGGCGGCCTCGACGGCCAACGGCTGAGTCTTGGTTAGTTATTCAATTATTCTTGAAATTAGTTGCAAAAATTTGCTGATAGCTTCAGCGTTCAGAGGCGGTGCGTCGTCTTGCTGGAAAAATATGTTTTCGAGTTCCATTAAGGGCATATCATCAATAAGGGGTCCAAAGCCTATACTAGTTAAAAGTGGCGAACTTTTAAAAATTCTGTATTTCGAAGGGGATTATAACAAAATATCAAGTGTGCTATATTTTTGGAAAAGTAATTTTAAATTCTTTACAGTTAATTAAAAATATAGAGGGTGTCCCAAATAAAAAAATCAATTTTTCTGTTGATAACTCTTAAATTATCAATTTTAAAAAAATTATACTTAAACCATTAAATTCTACGTAAAAAGGTGCTTTGGAAATGTTTTCATAGAAATAAAAATTTTCCATAGCAAAAAAGTTACAGCGATTTGTTAAAAATGCACATTTTTGAAAAACACCCCGTAACTCCGAAACGGTAAAAGATATTGATGTGCGGTTTTCACCATCACGTTTTTGATGAAAATTGAGGTCCAGACACCGATATTGGTTTTCGTCTATCTCCTATAGAAAAGGGTGTTTCCATTTAAAAGCGTCGAATCTGACCCACCCTGTACAGAGGTGTGAATATATTGCAAATTTTTATCGAGAGGTCCCTCACTAGTCCTAAAGCGTTGTGGATAAAATTATTATTAGAATGACGAGAAGGACTACTAGGCAAATGATAATGAAGATCTTTTTCTGGAAAAAAAAATAAATCGAAATAATATCGGGAACGATATGGGGGAGAGCGGGGTTCTAACTTAACGAACTAAATCCAGACCGATGATGCTTTGAATTTATAAGTGTTTTTTTTATAATTAAAACATACGAGGCACTATCAAACATGATAGGTTGATATTAGATTAATTCAATATGAGAAAATGAAATATGTTTTTTAGGTTCACAATCAATTATAGTGTTTTATCTTACATATCATAGTCTGTCCAACAAAAGGATACATGACGGTGACAGTTGTGTCTTGTTATTTTATTTCACAGGTAAATTGTACAAGGTTAGTTTTGGGTAGAGATTTCCGTATGTAAGAAGAGTACAATGCGTTTATAATGTACTGAACAAAGAGAGGGCAGTAAAAACGTTGCCAAACGTATGAAATAAACCGAGAAACTACGCACATTGCTAAGAGACGTAGAAGGGGATATAGCAGATTCGTCGCGGTCGACCGGTACAACATGTGTTCAGCTTCACGATTTAATTACGTCTCGTGATACTTGTTTATTTTTTAACGAGTAGTTGTAATTTTCCCTATAACTTATAATTTTTTAAGTGCAAGTTAGAAACACTTGCACTTTTGGTAAAAATAAGTGAAATTAAGTTGGTGTTCGACAGTGGTCGCGCTATTAGAACTCTTCTGAATTCAAAAATCGATATATCGAAATCTTTATAAATAAAAAATGTACACGATTGCTGAAAATCGTTATGCACTAAAAGTAAATGCATGGGGCTTTTAAAATTTTTGAATGGAAAAAAACCTATCGAATTTTTCTTATTTAAATATCTTGTAAAAAATCCGAACTTCGAAATAATAAAAAAAGAAGTTTCAATATCTATAATGTGGTTCTTGATTAGATCATCGCGTGTTATGTGTTAAAAAACTGAGTTTTCAAATTATCGCGATTACTGACGTTTTCTCGTTATAAAAAAATGGATACTCTAACGATATCCTTATAATTCCATTTCAGATGATATCTAGTTATTTTTTGAAAAAAAAGTCTTCTAAAAAGACGTCTAGAGATTGACCTCGCCAAAATTATTATCGATAGACATTCCCCAGACGGCGTTTTTTTTTCGATCACGTAGGCTAGGAGATTTTTGGATTCGTTGGACAGACATTAGTAATGTTGCGATTGACTAAAACCAAATAAATATTTATACAGGATGTTTTAATACAATATGAGAAAAACTTTAAAAGGAGCAATGTCGAAAATTTGTAATTAACGTAAAGAAAATAGGTTGGAAAATTTATCAGTAATTTTTAAATTTTATTCTGAATTTTTTTTTTACTATTTTTGTGAAAAAAAAATTGGGAACATTTAGAAGAAAAAATCTGTGTAATGGTTACCTTTGAGCCCAATATTAAAAAAAATACGCTATATTTTTACTACCTACCTCTTAAAGTTTTTCACCATTTTTTTGTAACTCCTGTGCATATCATAGCGCCTCTATGTTTTACTTATTTCTCTGAGTAACTAAACTAATTTAAAATATTATTTACCATGTTTCCATAAAATTAAAAATTTGTTCCCATACAACAATACGAACTACGATAAAAAATACTGTTCACTGTATTGTTTGAGCATAAAGAGATGTTTAATTTTAAAAATTATGATGTTCCACTGTAAACTTTAGAATAGCATAGGAAATATCTAAAAAAACAAAAATAAATATTTTATAGTGAATTTAGGGTGTGATTAAACAATAGACAACGTCACAGTAAGCCTAGAAATTTTATTTTATATTTATTTTGTAATAAAATTATATTAAAAATAAGTTATTGATACTGTCAACATTTCCATGCCTGCTATGACATCATGTTCATTCAATCACAAGTTATTTTCACATTATACAGAGTGAGTCTTAAAATAAGTACAAATATTTTTAGGAACACGATTATGAAGTTCTTCTCGCAATTTTTTTTTAGTTTTTAGTCAAATAACATAATTTCTTAATAATATAGCAACATAGGTAGTAGATTAAATTTACAAAAAAGAAAATCCAGAAAAGATCCAGAAATCAAAATTTAAGCGATTTATCGAGATCTATCAGCCCGTATATAAAATATTTGCACTTATTTAAGACTCACCCTGTATAGTCACAATATATTTTTTAACAAAATTGATTATATACTTAAATTTAACAATTATTTTTACTAGATGTTAGTAATAATAAAATTATATGCAGCAAATCTACAAAAATATAAACAAACAATGCTGTATAAAACCGGTCTGGATTTAGTTCTGGTTCAAAAGCAATATACTAGCGTAACTGACGAAAAAAACAACATGAAATCAACGAAAAAACATTCGGCATTTTCCGAAAATGGATAAATCTATTACCCTGTTTGGATTGAAACAGCAAAAATAAACTTTATACGTGTATAAAGGGATACGTACGCGTATTTAATAAAAGGGACTTTTCCAAAGAGTTATCCATTTTCGATTAATCAAATGAATTGGTTTCCAAAAAAAAGACGAAAAAAAAACCACACCAACAAAGCCGGTATTGAATTGAGACTTCTGGCGATTTGGTGTTTTGTTTGAGCAGATAATAAATTATTCAAAGCTACGCTGGTCTTTCAAAAAGGATTAGAATTTGTGAATAACAGAATAAAATGAAATCGATATATTATTTTCTGTCTATGAAATTTTAATATCAAGAAGGTTTAAAAGAAACAAGGAAATATTTTATTGTAAAACATTGATGTACAACTTAACAAGTATAGCTAGAGACGTGAGATATATAAAATAACGCGCTACCGGTCCTATCCTCAAGTCTCTTCCTATATTTGTACAACTGTACAGGGTGTCCCACTAAGAATAGCTCTCGGCTGTATCTCGGAAAGTATTAGTCGTAGAGCTTGCGGAAAAAAATATTTATAACTAAAGAGAGCATGAGAAATTGCTGGAAATTATTTTCAAGTTTGTAGAGCGGCCGCTAGAGGGTGCAACTGCTATTAAAAATAAGAAGTTTTACACAATTTTGCCTAGATAACGTATACTATAAATAATAGATTCATAATCTTCAGTAATTTTTGCATATTTTTTGTTAGAACCATTTTCCCCGATCTGCTAAAATAAAGTGGTGGGGGAAGGTTAGATCTGTTTTTATTAAAATGTTAATAACTCCGGACTGGTTGATCGGAATTCAACAAGTGAGGGCTCGTTTAAAAGAGCGTTTCTTACTCTATATTATGCCATATAAACAATAAAAATAAGCTTTTGACCGTAGACGCTAGGGGGCGCTGTCTTACAATTTAACAAACATTACGCGTTTTTTCGAAAAAGTTAAATGCGATAGTATATGTAATTTTAGCTGATACTAAAGAGTAATAAAAGTTTAAAAATTTAGCGAAAACCGCATCTTGATATCTTTTGTCAAACCAAAGTTATTGGCAAAATTATAATAAATACGGAAAAATAAGCCCTTAATTACCTTATCTTTCTAACAGGGTATCCCTAGCCCTCTTTATTATAACCATTCTAATAAAAATAACATAGAAAAGATTATTTCATTCAAAAAATCGACAATGTACCAGAATACCATAATACTAGGTGTACTAATTTATATTATTAATAATATAATTATATAATTATATAATATCTAATAATTAAGATATCAATGAAAGTGGCTAAGAAACGACGCCTCAGTGAATTCATAGTAGGCTCTGGAAAAAGTTGCTTTTAATGAGATAGTTGAAACTCAAAATATTATTATATCAACAATTTGATAGTCTCAGCAGCGTTTTTTATTTTTTGATTTTTTTCTAAAAATGCCTTCCTTCAAAACAAAAAAAAACGCTGCTAAGACTATTAAAATGTGGATTTAATAACTCTTTCACGTTTATACTATTACGTCAAAAGCATCTTTTTTCCAAAGCCTACCATGACTTCACTGAGGCGTCGTTTCTTATTCACTGTCATTTATATCTTAATTATTAGATATTAATACATCAGGTATATTATCGTATTCTGGTATATTGTCGATTTTAGAATAAAGCAATCGTTTCTATCTTATTTTTTATTAGAATGGTCATAATCGAGAGGGCCACTATAACCGTGTTAAAAAATAAGGTAATTAGGGGCCTATTTTTTCGTTTTTTTTTTCCTATTTTGCTAATATCTTCGGTTTGAAAGAGGATATCAAGATGCGGTTTTCGCTGACTTTTTAAGTTTTTATTACTCTTTACTATCAGCTAAAATTATATATACTATCGCATTTTTTTTGAAAAAACGCGCAATGTTTGTTAAATTGTAAGACAGCGCCCCCTAGCGTCTACATTCAAAAGCTTATTATAATTTTTTATACGCTATAATATAGAATAGGAAACGCTCTTATAAACGAGCCCCTGTTTGTTAGATTTCATTCATCCAGTCCGGAGTTATTAATGTTTAAATAGAAACAGAATAACCTTCCCCCACCACTTTATTTTGGCAGATAAGGGAAAATGGTTCAAACAAAAAATATGCAAAATTTACTAAAGAGTAGGAATCTATTACTTATAGTATCCGTTAACTAGTCAAAATTGTGTAAAAACTCATTTTTATTTTTAATAGCAGTTGCGCCCTCTAGCGGCCGCTATATAAACTTGAAAATAATTTCCAACAATTTCTCATGCTCTCTTTAGCTATAAATATTTTTTTCCGCAAGCTCTACGACTAATACTTTCCGAGATACAGCCGAGAGCTATTCTTAGAGGGACACCCTGTACAAAAAAAACTCGAATCTAGATACTGTTCAATTCGTGAGGTTTGGAACTTTCGTCACAGATTGTCATTCTCTCTCTTATCCATGTTTATCACATGAAATGGAAATTTTGTGTCAAAAACGTAAGTCCATTATATTGATTACATCGTACGATTATTTTATTCTTTTTATATACTGATCACATGCTGATCACTATTATTACGGATAAAATATTTACGTCCTATGTCCGATAAGCACGAATAGAAAGGACAAACATCGTGTTTGTATTACCCGCCTTACGAATTGAACAATACGGAACGCCGACTGTCAAAGTTGTCGTTAAATTTAACAGCTCCGATAGTTTCCCGTAAAATTTTTCAAAAGGATTTTTATCACTTTTTGATATTTTTGTGGGAGATTTTCTGTGTTTACTGAGTTATTTGTGATTTAATTTGTGTTTAAAATGCCGTCCCGTTTTAGTGAAAACGAACAACGGCTCATATTAAAAGTTATCCAGTATTTCAAACTCGAAAAAATGCTGGAAAACCCCTTTTGCCTGTGTCGGCTGTTTACGATGTAATTGGACAACTATCAAGTTAATATTTTTTAACTAAATCGAAAATATTCACGTGTTTTATAGAGAGCATCGGAGGCTTTAGGAATTTCACGCACGACTGTGCAAAGAATCAGTTCTAGAGGAATCGTGAAAGATGAAGAACAAAAAGCAGCAACAAGTCACAGAATTGCTTTGTCCCGTGGAATTCCTGCTTATAAGATACATGAACATACAATTAGAACACGTATTTATTCAATGTATGCTGCAGGTAGGCTACAATAAATTTATTATTGTTTAATATTATATGTATCTAATTTTTCACTGTATGGGATTATATAGGGGAACATATTACATTACAAACTTTGCAAGCAAACCTTCAAAACATTGATGATGTTCAGTTGTCTCTGACTATGTTGGGGAAAGGACTTAAATATTTGCAGTTTAGATGGCAAAGTTGCAAGCATTCTAACAGGAAGTATTTAATGGAGCAGCCATATATTGCACAGAAGAGACTGCAATTTTTACGACAATATAAAGAAAATCAAATCTCTGATTGTTCTTTCAGACCAGTATTTCTTGATGAAACCTGGATTTACAGTAAGGGTGGATTTAGAAAGAGCTGGCAAGATGGCAGTCTACAAACAGTTCGTAAAACATCTGGAGAAGGAGTAAGGTACATGTTTTTTACATATTCATTGGTTCACTTATAGGTCAGTTAGAAGGGAACAAATAGAGATACAAACAATAATATATGATAACTGTTAAGTTGTTTCTAGTAAGTAACATATGAGCCATGCACTGCACAACTCAGTTAACTCCACTTTTAAAAATTTTTAAATTTAAGTGTAAAACCAATTGTAATATTCAAACAGTTTTCCAAAAAATAGACAAATAGACAAATAATAACCTCTGATGTTTGGAAAATGTTAAGTTATTAATATACCAACTGGATTTACACTTAAATTTAAAATTTTTCAAAATGTATTGTTCATCACTTAGACAAGGAAAGGGGGGGACGGGCATTACCAGTAGAAATTTTGTGATGGAAAATCGCTAGGCTCCATGCCAAGGCCGTTTGTGAAAAGTGATTCCTAGTTCTTTCTCTCATTACAGATCTTAGAATTGTAAGCACAACAAAACACCATACTTAAATAATAATTATTTCAAGTCTTTAAAAAGCTTTTTACAGCACAAAATACAAAAAAACACACAATTTTTAGGAGCCAATCACAAAATTTGATATTGGCCGTAGATGTCGATTACGCGTCCCCTCTCTTTGCTTGTCTAAGGTGCATGAGCAGTAAACAGCTGATATAACGATAATGTTTCTAACCTAAAGAGTGAATGCAAAGAAAAACATAAAACGTTACATCTGCATAGCAACAAGTGTGCACCAATAAATGCATGGGATTATATCGATTACATTGTAGTTTAACTGTAAAGAAATGTACCTTGTACTTCATTTTTGGGTATGTATGATAGTGATTTTTTAAGGTATATTGTATTGCATGCTGGGTCAGAAGATGGATTTGTGGAGAATGCTAGCTTAGTTTTCAAATCAGGCACTAAATCGGGTGATTACCATGATTCAATGAACTCGGCAAATTTTGAAAAGTGGTTTGAAGAACAATTAATTCCAAATTTAGGTGATAATTCACAATAAGCTCTTAGGAATTATATTATGATTTTTTTAAAATTATATTATGTTTAATGGGAAAATCTAATATTGTCTAATCTAAAATTTAGATGAACCATCTCTGATTATAATGGATAATGCTCCATACCACAGTACCCTTTTCGAGAGAACTCCAAATCAGAGTTGGAGTAAGGAATCCCTGATTAATTTCTTGCAAGAAAAGGGAATCCAATCACCACCTCTGGCAATGAAAGATCAGGTTTGGAATATTGTCAAGCAGAATGTTGCACCTAAGAAATACAAGTAAGTCAACAAACAGTCTTATTACTTTGACATGAATGCAATTGTATATGCGATATGTTGATTTAACATTATAACTTTATTCCATTGCATTTATTTGGCAGACTGGACGAATTAGCCAATGAGAAAGGACATCGTGTGTTGAGACTTCCTCCATATCATTGTCAGTACAATCCCATCGAAATGGTATGGTCAGAATGCAAGCGCTACTATGATGCCAAGATTAGTGCCATTCATCCTGTTACAAGTGATGCAGTATTAGGTCTTTGGAAAGAAGCACTTGAGAAGGTAGATTACATGTGGTTTAGATTATTTTATATTAAAAGTTTTATTTTAGGTTACACCAGAGAAATGGAAGAATTATATCAGACATACCAATAGCATAATCGATAAAGCCTGGGCCCAAGAACAACTGATTGATGCCTCCGATATTCTACCTGTAATTATCGACACGAATGATTCCGATTCAGATGAGGACAATTATTTAACTGAGGGAGAAGAAAGTGTGTAGTGTTTAGTGTCTAGTATTATTTTTCATACATATTGTTTTATGTTGTACAGTGTGAGTCAGTGACAGAGTAAAGAGTAAATTTAATTAGTAAATTAATTTTAAATATAGAGGGGACTCCAAAAAGTGAGGCAGATATATATTATAAATAATGTTATATACCTAGAACTAATAGTTTTCTTAATATTTATTTAAAAAAATGTGTTATGCCAGCACCGACATGGTAGTGGCATTGTGTAAAAACTTTTCTATGCTAATCACTGGTATGAAAGTATTTACATATTGCCACTACCATGCCAGTGCTGGCATACCAGTTAAATTGGCGATAGCTACAGTATATAATAAATCAACAATCAATCTTTATATACAAAGGTTATAGAATTTTGGGCAGAATCTAAATATAAAATAAAAAATTATTGTATTGGGTGTTACATTAAAAAAATATTATATCTGCCACACTTTTTGGAGTCCCCTCTTATTTAAAATTAATTTTAAATTGTGTACCTGATAGCACAGGATCAGGTTGCAGGATTATTAAGCTCATAATGTAATTAAAATATAATTTTTATATATATTTGTGAATAGGGTAATACACTTTTAACGGGATGCCAATCAAAAAATGGCCACAAATAGGGGTTGCCACAGTTCGAAGTCGTTCCTACTACTTTATCCGGGTCTGGCAACAGTGAGTCAGGCATCTGTTGCTCCTATAATAAAAAAAATTGTATGAATGCAAACTGAAAGTATGTATTAGGAAGTATTTCATGAAAATATTTTAACTTCTACAGGGTGGGTCAAAAAAGTAAGCGAATCGGAATGATTTTTTTAAATGGACACACCACATATATTATTGCATTTTGGTTCTTTTCTGATCACTTTACATAATCCTAAGATACTATTAAATATGTTTTATTAGTTTCAGAGCTATTAGGTACTAAATAAATAAATAAAAATACTTCAGCCTTTTTATAACACAAAATGTTAAAAATACTTTTTAAAAATACAAAGGAATGTCGGTACTACTTTGCTATAAATATCGTAATCTTAAACCATACAGGGTGTTCAAAATCCTATGCTAAACTTTCTAAAATATAAAATAGTTGTTCTTCCCTTTTTTAATGGACCACTCTGTATATTATGTGTTGTTGATGAGGAATTAAAAAATGCACATTTTTGTATTTAAAGAGTATTTAAAATCTTTAGCGGTTCTATTTAAAATAAAGCAAAAGAAAAACTGTTTTATATTTTAGAAAGTTTGGCATAGAATTTTAGCACCCTGTATGATTTAAGATTACGATATTTATAGCAAATTAAGTAAAGAATAAATATAGTAAACACCTAATATAGTTTTGATTTCAGGACATTTCTTGTATTTAAAAAAGAAAAGGCTGAAATATTCTTTTTATTTATTTAGTAATTGTTCTGAAACTAACAAAACATATTTAATAATATCTTAGGATTATGTAAAGTGATCAGAAAGGAAGCCAAAAATGTAATAAAAATAATCCCAATTTCACTCAATTTTGGAGCCACCCGTAGAAGTTAAACTATTTTCGACAAATACATCCTAATATATACTTTCAGTTTGCACTCATATAACATTCCTAAGTTGCGGCCACTTTTTCATTGGCACCCTGTTAAAAGTGTATTCACCTATTCATAAATATATTTAAAAAATTAGGATTTGATTATCTACATGATGAACGTAATAATCCCGCAGCCAATCTTAGACTATGATCATTCTCTAAAATTATTCAATTTAATTTTTTTTTTTTGTTAGTCTCGAAACAAATAAGATAATGGACTTTATCGTTGACACACCCTGTATCTTAAGATTTATATATTAATATAATATATATTTACTATAATGTCTAGTGGTATATTTTTTGTACTGTATATATTATGTTATGTATTATGAGTCATATTCTTGTATTGTCTGTTGTATTTTTTTGTACTTATCAGGTTTTTATTGTACATTTGGGGTTTTTTTCAGAAATATATAATTCTATATTCTGTTTTCTCCCATTTCAAGAGTTTTTTGCACATCCAGAATATCTGGCTGACATTATGTTATATTGCCAACACATCTATTTTTGATCTTAGCTTTTTATCTTCACTACACTTTATCTAAATACAGTAAACATAATTTTAATATGTAGTGTTTCAAATTTTAGTAGAATCTAATTTTTAGACATAGAATAAATTTTTAGTAGAATGATTGTAAAGAACAATGATGAACATGATTTTTAATCATTTCTATTATTATTAACTATTAACTTATTAATACTTTTCTTGTGGTTCTAGAAAACTTTTTTCAGAATAAATTTGTAGTTCTTTTCATAAAATTAATAATATTTTTTTATTTATAAACTAAAATAAATATTTACAGCTTACATTGTAGATATAGTGCAAAAGCCAAATTTAACGTTAACGGTGTAACGCTAACATGAATACAATAGCTCCCTACTAATAGCGATAGCACCTTAAATGTTTACATCTATGGATCAATTCAGGAAATACGTGAAAACCAATATGGCGCCGAAAAAGATGACGAAAGTGCCAAAGTTCCCGAATTGAAATATATATCAGTTCTCTAGTTTTTAGTTCTCTAGAGAGAACTAAAAACAAGCTTATTGAGATGAGTTTAAGAGTTTAGTTTGTCAGATAGAAACACCAAATACTAGTTTTGGAATAAACTTAATAATGTATTCTTTACTTTAATTTATTCATAGTGGAATAATTTTTTCACTTGTTGGCGGAAAGACATTTAAAGTAATATATGAGAAAATGCGAATCAGGGATCATACAGTTATGAAAATTTTTCAAAAAACACAAAATACTAGTTTTGGAATAAACTTAATCTCTAGAGAGAACTAAAAGAAGAAAAAGAGAACTAGAGTTCTCTTTTTCAATTTGAAATACATATACTCAGCGAGCCTATATACGAAAAGTATAAAATTACCATTTTTTATAAACTGAAATGCCTTTTTTATGATCAGATTTAAGGCTACTCAACTCAAAAATAGAATATATATCCTCCTAAAAAACATCCTTCTATCAATTTTTTTCCAATAAAGGAACAAAAAAACCTACATCTTTTCCTTAATATCGAGACTGAATGTTTTTTAGTATTCGACAAAAAGATCGTCAGAAGTCTAAATCCATATTTCTAAATTACATTCTGGACCAAGGAGATCTGAGTGTAGTGAAAAAAAGTATTACGTGAAATAAAAAATAAAGGGAAGAGTTGGTGTAGTATTGGATTTTAAAGAAAAAAAAATGGTGATGGCTTCAGACTACTATAGTATGAAGGGTCATTCTTTAAAAAAAGGAATATTTTAGTGTCTTTGACATTTTTTTTCTCTCTATAATTTGGTTGAAAAAAATGTACTGCCAGATTTTTTTAGTTAATTATTCCTTTAAATGTCATATATGATAGAGACTCAAGAACAAATGTTAAATTTTATTGTCACACTTAGACGATAGGACAAGGTAGACGGGCAAAGGGCCCTAGGGTGGGGATCCTTAACAGTTCTGTCCGCCGATTCATTTGACACATTTGGATTTGATTTGAAATTTTGTGGATCTGTCAGTCTTTACTGAGATTATTTTATGTTATTTATTATTTATTCTACTTCTGATAGTTGCCTAGAAGGAAATTGTAGCAGAACTTAAATTAACAGTGACACTATTGCGATTTATCGGAAGATTAAAATATGTGTAGCGTGCGGTAGATCTCGGTCAAAAATCGAGGGAAATAATGGAATAACTTTTCGCTAGTAAAGATTCATTCAGAACCTCGCCAGTGGAATAAATTAGTAGTTTCAATTAGAGTAGAAGTTTGTTCCTTTAACTTCAATGTCAGCGTTCAGAACGTCAAAATTAGTGGTAGACATTTTCAATTAGTAGAAAAAGTTATTAAACTTTTGACTTTTCCACTAGTTATAGTACGAGAGCTAGCAACGTCGGAAAAACAAGTATTTTAAGACGTCTGGCACTTTGATATATCTTTTACTATGCTCTCTAGAACAGCATGCGGCCCGCCTGGCTGCCGGTAAACGTTGCGTTCCCTACTGCGCATTGAAAGAAGATCATATATTTTTATTAGCTCTTTAAATTCTAGTATTGAATATAAATCGAACATGTCTCCATAGCGCAGTGCGAAGAGTTTCTGACCACGAACCGATGATTCAGAGTTCGAATCCGGGTCATGGCAAAGACTTTTTTATTTTATTTTCGTTTATATTCTGATAGTAAAGTATTAAATATTTGTTTTTTTAATATAATAATAGCTCCCGTATATAGCGTTTCACGCCTTGGGAGTAGCAAGGTACAGCTTGCCATACTAGAGCCGTTTGGTATACATGGAAGGTAATGTGGCTAGCACTACGCTTCAACCGCCTATTATTACCTCAGGATTCTGAATCCCAAGTACTCATTTAAGTCCACCTAGGTACCCAAACTATTTTTATTTTAATAAAAATAGTCAGCTGATGTAATGCCGGGTGTGGGATTCGAACCCACTACCTTGAGATTGGTAGACGAGAGCCTAGAGGTGTGTAGTTCGTGAACGAACTAGTTCCAATGAACTATTCCGTCCCCGGAATGAAAGGAACTAGTTCCTAGTTTCTCAAAGAACTAGTTCCTCAGGACCTATTCCGGGATCGAGACTGTGACCGATATAGAATAATATGCGACGGCGACGGATCGGCTAGCGCGCGTAGCCCGATGGTAGGCAGGAGTAGGGAGTGCCAGCCGTACGTTATCAGATCCGGACCTAGAGGAACTAAACTAAATAAAAGACTAGTTTACGTACGAACGGATAGGGCCAGCGCGATCGATGCTAGGTAAGAGTGGGGAGTGCCAGCCGTATGCCGTATGTTATCGGATCCGGACCTAAAGGAACTAGAGGAACTAAATAAAAGACTAGTTTACGTATGGATCACCCAGCGCCATTGATGCTAGGCAGGCGTGGGGAGTGCCAGCCGTATGTTATCGGATCCTGACATAGAGGAACTATTAAAAGACTAGTTCACGGGAATCTATTCAGTCGGCTGATCCGAGATATAATACAAGGCGACGACGATGGATTCGGCCTTGTCCATTGCCACAGCCGGCGCGGCGTAATTACCACAGAAATTTGTCGTGGATACTGTTTTTGATTTTTAGTTTGTTTTTTAAATATTTTATGGGAATATTTCACTTTAGGTCCCTAAAATTAAGAAATATCTTATAAAACGAAGTAGATATTCTGAACTTTTAGGCAAAAACAAAAAGCTTAAAGTGAGGAAAAATGCAATTTTTCGTAAATTATTTGTAATATTTGCTCCAATTGATTTGTGATGTAGTTTTTTAAATTCTGATTTGAGTTTTTTTTATTTTTTTTATCTGCAATAAAACTTACCTATATGTTTTTAACATACACAATTACACATCTCGTTATATCTCCGTACATTATAAAAATTATACAGATCATACTGTCAATATTTCTGACTGACAACGAAAAGGGGGATGTCAATGTTAGTCGGGAACTATTGTGAACTAAAGACCTGGTTCAAGGAACTATTCCTCTGGACGAACTAGAACTAAGGAACTAGTTCCTCCCAAGGAACTAGAATTCCCACCTCTACGAGAGCCTGTACCTCTACGCCACCGGGCACCTTATTTGTTTTTTTTTGTTTTTTTAATTACCAGAAATTTTACCATTTTGATTGAAACCATTTTAATTTGTTTTTTTAATTACCAGAATTATTTAATACTTTACTATCAGAATATAAACGAAAATAAAATAAAAATTCACAGATTTTGCAAAATGCGCAACCATCATAAGCGTATTGAAAATACCAGACACAAAAGTCGGCGGTGGTCAGCAATCACATGTTTTCTACATTTTATATTAACTGGTGACGTCATTTGGAAGAGCTCAATAGAAATCATATAGAAATATAAAAGAACTAAAGCTTGTTTGGAAAGCAATTTGACATTCGTGACGTCAGCACTCCGGCAGTCTAACGTATCGCTAATTGCCATTCGCAAATATATTCCAGATACGTATAGTGAACAAGTGAACCGTTCGCAACGTTAAATAATTTTGATATTTGATTTTTATCGTGATGGCTTTTTATAAAAGTGAAGAATTTAGTAAGAAAAATATTAATGATGGAGATGAACGTGTACGGATTCATGAATGGTCAGGATCACGGTCACGACACTATAGAAATGTGATGTATGTATGTATATATATATATATACATAGAATTAATGGCATTAATTTGCAATAGCACCTCGAACTCACAGTTTCATTATGGAGCCAGATTAAACCAATCAGAATGAGTATTATGTTACCGTAAAAGCCCGAATATTGGTTAATTGGTTTTTGAAATTATTTGTTAGCTTCTTAAACAAAACAGACCCATAATAATTCAAATCTTTACCATCCAAGACTTCCAAGAATTATAAAGTAATCTCACGTCAAAATTTTTTAAAATTATTGCATGCCTTAAATGTTTGCAAAGTTAACAAAAATATGTCTGATTACCTGCAATTAATATATTTGGTCCAATTTATCAGTTCTGCATCATATCCGAAATTCAGATTGTGTGTGACACAACGAAGAGTCAACGTGCAACGTGAACGACAAGAAAATGGCAAGTAAAAAAAAATTGTAAAGTTTTAATTACTAATTACACAGTCGTTCTCTTGAGTTCTCCTGCCTAAAATCTATATTGCCTTCCCTAAGATTTAAAATATAAATGATTGAAACTCATACAAGTTTACCACAATTTAAACTTAAGATAATTATTTAATTATTAAATTCTTAATTATATTAAAATATAACACTTACGAAGTTACTATATAAATATTAACTATGTCTACTTAATCATTTAATAATTCTGATAAAAACAGGCTTGATTATTTATTTTAGAAATCATACGGGCTATAATCATTAATATGCCTATATTAACAATACTTAAATCAAAATTTATTTGAAGGAATGCTACTGTATTACAATAATTGTAAAACAAGTATGTAATAATAACTCGGAATAATTATTAAAAACTGCTCATCTTGTTATAGATGTCGGCGTCTTGTCTCTATTATTTTATTAGCCGTTTAGCTATAGTTTGATTTCAGATAATGCAGATTTTAATGTGCCATTTGTGTGTTTTTATTGGAATTATTATTTTTAGCATATTTGGTATACTCTATGAAGTTATTTTTAAGTGCTCCTGTCCATTTTTCAATTATTAAAGTGCCTTTAGATACAATTAAAATTAATTAATTGGTGTATAGTATTTGTATTATGGGTTTGTTTATTTTTTATGAAATAATTTTTTTTCCTATTAAAATAAACATAGCTTACTAAATCACTAGCTAGTCATTTTTAAATACAGTATGTTAATTAAGTATCTGGCCAAACTTCAGGAGGTGATTCTTTGAGTGTTTTTAACGTAAAAAGTTCATATAAATATGTGTCCGGAAATAATGTATAATTTTAAAGATACAGGGGTGTCAAAGTGTTTTCTAATAGACCTTTCTTATTAATATCTCAAAGATCCGTAAGCCGATTTTGTTGAAATTTCACCGTGTTGTGAAATTTAATAAGTTAGCTCTAATTAAATGATAATTATTATTTACAACAATATTTAAACGATAAAAACTTATCCCAATAAATATTTTGGCATTTTTTTTATCATATAAAAAAATATAGGTCCTAATAGCCTAAATTTTATCAAAATATATCAGCAGATCCGATGAGACCCGAATTATTATATGTTTTGGAACTTAATGATTTAATTAATTATTCCCTTTAATGCATTGTGCGCACTATCCTACGCGCCAAGAAAAAATATTGCATTAGTCTAAATTTATTATTTATCTTATTCCGCTCTTGATTAAAATAGCCCAACTGTACCTAACAACCCATGCATGCCTTGACGCATATTCGTTTTTATAATAATATCGGCTTTCCCAGACCTAAAACATCCATATCCATAAAATAGTTGGCCCACACTAATAAGACCTCATTTCGGCCCTCGGACGACCTTGCTCTACTACGTGTTGACAAGTTGATTAGGCAGGTTATTGAACTCCATGTCGCCTCTAGCATGTCGTTTTTTCAAAGATGGGTCCCATATAAACGCGGCCAGAAGTATTTTCAATACTAAAAAGTCTTTGTCCTGACCCGGATTCGAACTCTGAATCATCGGTTCGTGGTCGGAAACTCTACGCATTGCGCTATGTAGACATGTTCGATTTATATTCAATACTAGAATTTATAGGACCAAATTAATAAAAAATAGAGGATCTTCTTCCGATGCGCAGTAGTGAACGCAACGGGTATCGGCAGCCAGACGGTCCGCGTGCTGTTCCAGAGAGCATAGTAAAAGACATATCAAAGAGCCAGACGTCTTAAAATACTTTCTCGAAAATGTTGCTAGCTCTTAGACGATTATACTTCAAAATTTGCGAGAAATGTCATTTTGACCATCGCCATCATAATCTTCCGTCAAGAGAAATTGTGGTTAGAAATCAAAAGTCGATTGTTTTATAAGCTAAAGATTAGGTTTTATCTATGGATACAACTGGCTAACGCAAGCTGTTGCTAGGGTATTATATTAATTTTAATTGTATTTTTTAGACACACACATTGTGACTGATCGTACTACTCTTAAGTATAAAGTATAATTGAAACTACTTATTTATTCCACTAATTCGAGGTTCTGGATTAAGCTGAATGCAATAGAAATACAAAAAAAAATTCTGACAATGTATAAAATAATTTTTAAAAATTAATTTAAACAATATATGACTTTTTTAAAGAATGACCCTCCAAACCTTATTAAGGACGTGTAAAACCTAGAAAGAAATAAGGGAGAGAGAGAGAGAGAGAGAGAGAGAGACTGTTCTAGCGAGAGACGAAGATAGACGTTTCGTATTTTTTCCAGTAAAGGTTGTCAGGCATAAAACGCCGGATTTTATAGAGCTCCGTAATCCGTACTAAAATGCGTAACTCGTAACATTTCTTACCGTATCTTCTTCCGAGTTTATGTACCTACTTACGTTTTATAGGCTGATGGATAATATTACAGGCTAATGTTTTTTTTTTTGGAAAATTGTTACTTTACGAAAAGGTACATTTATGTGGGATGTCGAGAGAAATAAAATAAAAAGCAAACATATTTCAACAAAACGAGGCTTAAAGTTGTAGAAAAAGTCGGTAAATCATAATTTGGAAAAGAATTTTTTGAAGAGGATTGTTTTTTACTTTTTGATATATTTCTTTACCTTTAATATAATACGACCGAAAAAAAAACGGCGTCAAAGACGGCTGGGAATGACTATCGATAATAAGTTTATGGAGGCCAAGACCTACTTACCTAGCCCGTACCCTTCTTCATTTTTTAATAACGCTTACTATCAGGTGGCCTTAAGAAGACTAGAGACATTTTTTTTAAACAGAATTGTGTCTCTGGAAACGTTTTTTTCCCTTCTTATTCTTTCTATAATTAGTGTTACTATCGTTATTCCTTTGGCGTCTTTGACGGCTTTTTTCTATCATACGGTAATATTAAGCAAGATCATAGAAAACGGACAAAATTAAAAAAAAAGGTTTTGGTATTTTTATCAACATTTTATAGATTCAATTTCTCAAAAAATAAGGTTTTTGGTTAAGTTAATAAAATTATAAGATTATTCAACAATTTCTAAGGAAAATGTCGCCGCATCATGTTGAAATAAATATAAAATAAAATACATAGTCAATGGATTTAAATCAACCAATGACAGACATTTTTACATAAATAAGTCTGAAAGCATTCTGCGGAAAAACGCAAAAAATACCAAAAAACATAAATAATCATAACGATAATGTTCAGAGTCACGCAATATTTTAAAATGCCTAACAACCTTCACTAAAACGCCCCTCCTTACCTTTCTGGCTTTACTCTGGTACGATTCCGCAGCTTTAAGTTGCACGTGCCCCTCCGACACGTGGTTCTTCGTCGTTTCCACGTGGTACTCGATCCTGTCCACCAGTTCACCCTGTATAGTCACGGCGCGGTACGGGTATACAAGGTAGGGGAACAAAAAAAAGGATATCCAGGAAGGGGTAGTATTGAAGGAAGCAGGTTAAATAAACCACCACCGGAAGAAGGTGAATACACATAGACAGAGCAACACAATAAATATTACAACACCGCATCACACCAATAATAATACACATATTTATGTCAAGTGACAAAAAGGCACACAACAGTATAGTTAGTAAAAAAAATAGTTTAGGACACGTAGGTGCAATAGTTAGATGTCAGTAAGCCCAAAAAATTCGGTTAGAATCGAGTTAAAAATGTAAGTAGGGGGAGCGCGCGTAGAAGTGGACGAGAAGGTAAAGGAGATAAAAAGGTGAAAGAAACGAAAAAATCATAAAATTAAAAAGCGAATATACACAGTACGCGGTCGGTCTTAAGGTCTAATATGGTCGGACTCACCCGCCTGGCCCTGCTCTGGTACTTGAGGGCCTTTTTGGTGTCCTGGGTGGCCGTTTGCACGTAGTCCACGGCGTGCTCCACGTGGAACTCGATGCGATCTATCATCTCGCCCTTTTAGAGCGATAGAAAGAGAGAGACAGAAAGAAAAATGGACCTGTTAGTTACCGAGTTACTAAAGTTAGGTTATGGTTTGTTAATGGAGGTTAACTAGTAGATTAAAATAAATGGACTCATTATTTTGTACACTAAATTATTTTCTTTCTACCATAATACATTAAATGTTATTTCATACATTGATGACAATAGCTCAAGTTTTTAACAGTCAAAACATGCTTTCAAATAGGAAGTTTTGGTAAAAACTTGAATTTTTTTGAAAAGAGCAAGTATAGGAAAAAAAACTGATGACTTCGCCACTGGATTGTGTTCAAAAAATCCTCAAAAACGACTTGTCTAATTAATAGACACTCCCCAATTCTTAAGATTTATTCTTTAAGTTGAAAATAACTGTAAAAATGCGTTATCGTTTGTTAAAAAAGAACTACAGTGCGTCTCTTTCAAGAATTAGTAATGCAAATGATTAATATATGGAGATGTATATTTGAATAATGCCAATTAATAAACTAGAATAGATCCATACAAATGAGTCCATTTATATAATAGTCTCTGGGTTATAACAAGTGTACGTTATGTTGTTAAATCATTCCCATTTTTTTAAATTATGAACTATGTAGAAAATATTGAATCATACATTGAATCAGCGTAAATACAAATTATAAATCTATATAGTTTATAATTCCTAATAATTTCTATAGTCTTGAATGTTTAGATTTTACAGAAAAAAATAAAAGATAAATAAAAAATTATTACAACAATTAATAAATAAAAAATCTGAAAACCCTAACAAATGTTTAAAATTGATAATCTGTATAAAAGAAAAATAGTATAACTGAAATTTAAAAATATAAAATCTAATAATTAATACTAAATAAAAAACACAAAAAAAAGGAAATAAAAGAAACTTAATAATAAAAAATCAAATACATTCTATAAATTTCCAAACATTCTATACTTCCAAAATACTGTTAAATCCTTTCTATCATGTATGTTAGAGTTCATCAATCATAGTTAATAATGAAAATAAAGTTAATATTGGCTACAAAGCGTTCATTCTCTTAATGCCAGCCCTTGATTACCCTGATAACGTAACTTTTATAGATTTCTTTATAGCGTTCTTAAAAATAATCTACAATTTCGGAAAATTTATGGGAAACAATTCATTCTCCGCGACTCTACTATTACATGAAACTTTATTAATGATTTTACGTACTTTCTCGATAAAGAAACCTATAAAATATGGCTGGACGATGAGTTAGTTAATCAATTTCTACCACTATGACGATAATAGATCGCTGGAGTAACGTTAAAATGAGATCAGATGGTCTCATTCATGAGACGACCGATAAATTTTATAGCTATACAAATTCATATAAAAAAAATGTATGCAGGGTGCTTTTTCAGACAAATTAATATAAATGCACAAATTTTTATTAAAAAAGTAAGGCAATAAGCAGATATGTTAATGTTGTGTGTTATCATTTGGCGCCCAACGTGGGACCCGTGGCTCTCTTAGTGCATTACATCGAGAATATTGTATACTGTAGTAAAATATTGTATTGGTTGATATTCTGAACATAATATAAACACTTTATTCCAAATGTTTTTTACTAAAAACACATGTTAATTTTCTTTATTGAGCGTTGATTAAAGATTATACATAAACATGTATAAAAGACAGACTAAACAAAAACATACCGTTCGTTTATTTTATCACAGACTTATTACACCGTGTTTTTCAAGATTTCAGGTCACTGAATTTGTTCAATGTTTCGGGATGTTCATAAAAACAGAAAAGATGGTGAAATAAATATTTCTATTTAAGCCATAAGCATTTAGGAATTAAATTAAATAGAAAAATATTTATATAGATAAAAATATAGTAGATAAAAATTCAAACAGATAAAAATTCATTAATTTTCAAATAAAAAAAGTTTGAATCATATTTCAAAATAATTTGACTTTAAAAAACACCCTATATACAAACGGAAAAATGCTTAACTAAATAAAAAATAAAATTATATTTAATAATGATTTAAAGTTACAAAGTATAGTTTGAATATTTGAGAAAAGCAAATACTTTGTACCTTCTATCAATCATTTTTTTTCCTGAAAAAAAAAACTGCCATAAAATATTATTAAAACTGCTTGTAAAAGGAAAACCCTTGATCATTTACATATTAAATTTTCAATATTTATAGGAGAATATTACATGAAAAAGGTGGTACTGTACTAAAACAGCGGCAATGAGTGTACAGATATTTTATAACAGCTTTAAAAAATCAGTAATATAGACCTATCCAGACATTTTTTAATGAAATTCTGTTTTAATTTCTCTTTCTATTAATCATTAACGAAAAAAAAAAAAAATACTGATTGATGTTGACAAAAATGCAATGTTACTTTTATAATTGTATAGATTTAAAGTTACCTAATCAATTATTTAATAATGATTTAATAAAATTTGTTGACTAAGGACATTAAAATACTAGCTCATATATTTAAAAAATAACAAGAATAAGGATTAAATAATAAAATATGTACATTAATAAAGTAAAAGTAAAAATCACTGAAAAATAACTTTAAAAATTTCAATTACTTTCCAAAAGTAAATAACAAGTAACATGTTAATAAAAAAATAAATTTACTTTAGAATTACAACCAGTAAGAGTTATATTTTATGGAATTTCTTTAACTGACCAATTGAAATTCTGAACATTTAAGTGAATAATAGAGCAAGTTTGGCATAGCCAATCAGTCAAATTCTTGCAAGAGCTGCAACATTCTATTATAGGAAACTCCAACAAATCATGAGAAACTTTTTATTGATTCATTTTATTTCAAAACTGGCATTGTAAAATATCGTTGTATATAAATGCCAAAGAAAAGTTTATCTATACATATTTTTGTGAATATATTTATTTGTGAAATACTAAAAAATTGAAACTGGTAGAATACAAATTGTTAGAAAACAAAATATAAAGTTGAAAATATCATATAAAAGTAATAACGTTCATAGACTGGAGAGATCTATTCTATATTTTTTTATTGAAGTAAAAAGTTAATAAATATATAAACAATTAGAGGATGGAGGTAGTACATTACCTGATTTTCCACCAGCATGGCCATGTCCATGAACATGTCGTGGAGTTCCCTAATTGAATTTTCTAATTTGATAATGTCGGCATGTCGAGCCTCGATGTCCGCCAGGGTTTGCTTGGCCTGCTGCGTCTCCATTATAATCTAAAAAAAACAAAATATAGAAATTATACATATTTAAGACATATACTAGCTATTGTCACTTCATCTGGTGTGTCAATTCACGTGGTCTGCGTGTAGAAAAAAATAAACTATTTTAAAAACTTTCATGTAAACTGCTGAAACGAAGGTAATATATGTCAGCTAAATATTTATTTATTTAACGTATGGCTTACATCACAGTATCTTAAGTTATAGGACAAAGAATTGTATAAACAACAAAAAAATATGTAGATAAAAAAACTGCATAAACAAAGAAAAAAAAACATACACAACAAAAAACTAGGCTAATTCGTCTCATAAACAGATATCCAGTCTTTGTATATAATCAATTGCCTCCTGAGTAGCCATAAGGAAATCTTCTGAGTTGCCCGTATATGCTCTTATTGGGCAGTCTTGCACTATATGTTTGACAGTCTGCCTGTCAGCTCCACAGTCGCATGCGGCCGAAGGGACTTTTCCCCACCTATTTAGAGAGTCGGCACATCTTCCGCAGTTAGTTCTGATGCGGTTAAGAGTTGTCCATGTTCGACGGGGAAGGTCGAATCCTGCAGGTTCATTAATAACGTACGGTAGACCATGGTACTGCCTCATTTTCCCATTTCTCTCTCCATTGCTCATTTATATCAAAATTATTTTGGTGCAGCTCATGTGCAGTCTTCAATGGAGGGTGTCTTGATCGTAGTCGATTTCCCTGGATGTGTGGTACCTCATCATGGACCTGCAGCTGAGGGTTATTCATTATTTTAGTAAACTCTCTGACCAAGGCATGTTCTCGGAGCAAATTGGGAGGAGCTATGTTGCTAAGAGTGGGCAGCCATATTGTAGGTGTTGGTCGAATTGTCCCTGTGCGCATAGTTTGGTTTAATTGAATATCAACCATACGGATGTGTTTGCTATTAAGCCACACTGGAGCACAGTATTCTGCTACAGGATACACCAAACCCAGCGCAGAGGATCTCAGGGTGGATGCTGATGAGCCCCAAGTTGTGCCACATAATTTTTGAAGTATGTTGTTACGTGTTCTCAACTTTGCCGTCATTCTTGTCAAGTGTTCTTTAAATGTAAGCGTCCTATCCAGAGTAACTCCGAGATATTTTGGATGTTTATTGTGAGTGAGTAGTTTGTTGTCCATGTACACTCGCAATTCTCTCTTTGCCATCTTATTATTAAGATGAAAGGCAGATACTTCAGTTTTTACGATACTTGGTTGGAGTCTCCATTTTTTAAAATACTCGCTAATGGTTGCTATGTCTCTGGTAAGTACAACTTCAGCATCCTCCACCCTCCTGTGCGCCGTTGCCAATGTCTAGTCGTCTGCATAACCAAATTTTAGTGATTCAGATGCAGGCACGTCCGCGATGTATAGACTGAAGAGTATGGGGGCAAGAACCGACCCCTGAGGAAGACCGTCATTCAGTTTCATAGTTTTGCTCCTGTTATTCCCCATTATAACCTGGAATGTTCTATTTGACAGCATATTGTTAATGAGGTTGGATATTCTTACACAAGGAATGACGCGAGTGAGTTTATATATTAGGCCCTGTCTCCAGACGGTGTCATATGCTGCTGTCAGGTCTATAAATGCGGCAGCGACTACATGTTTCTTTTGAAATCCGGCCTCTATAAATGTTGTCAGTGATAAGACTTGATCTGTGCAGCTACGATGCGGGCGAAAGCCTGCTTGTTCAATGGGAATGCTGTCTAAAATTCTTTGACTGATTCTGTTGAGTAGCACTCTCTCGAGCAGTTTATAAACCATACTTAGCAGGGCGATGGGACGGTAGTTCTCTGGCCCATCACTTGTTTTCCCTGGTTAGCTAAATATAATCTATTACAGCTCTGTAGTAAAAAGTGTAACTAATTGTGAAAAATAAAGTTCCAACCCTAGACGCAACGTTTTCCGTTGCGTCAAATTCAAACCGCACAAGGCCTACTTGTGCGGTTTGAAATTTTGATGTAAAATCCGGCAATACCGCATAGAAGAAATGTACCAACCCAACTTTTATCTCTTTTTAATATATTTGATTTTCCATTAAGCTGTCGACAGCACTGTCTCACACGGTAAAGTCCAGATCACGCTGTTTCGAGGACCAGATCGGTATGTATCTAAATTATGTACTACAAAAACAATTAAAATGTTGTGTGAAAAACCCTGTATAGTATTACTTAACGTTTTGCTCCAAAAATTATTAACAACATTAAAAACTACTTAGAATTGATTTTTATTCTACTATTTCATACTTACACCTTGTGTAAAGACGGTAGAAGTTCCTTGTTCTAACATATCTTCTAATTCTTCATTTGTTGTTGTTCTTCCCGCTAAAAATGACAAAATTAAAATTATTTTCGACTTAACATACCTTACAAAGTTTCTATATATCAATTATTAATAATGCAACGAAATATACAGAATGGTCCGAACTGTATTCCGGAAACTTTGGCGGCATATTCTGCAGATAAAAATATGTAAAAAGTTCGTATGAATGTATGTCCTAAAATGCTTAGTTTCGCAGATACAGGGTATAAGTTTCAATAGATATTTTCCAAATAATTTATAAAGTAACGTCAATATTTGGATGAAAATTGGTATATAGAAGTTTTTTGACATGAGCAATTTCATTTTAATGTCAATATAACTCCTACTTGTAGAGAGCGCCATCTGCATACTTTTTAACTGGTTTGACGAGTAATAAATTTTCGTCCGTACCTGTATAAAATTACTGAGTAAAAAATAAACATTTACGACGTTTTTATTCGATCATACGGTATAATATACATCTTATATTTTCAGTTCTGATTTACTTTGTTTGAAAGATCGCTAAAATGAAAGTTAAGGTAAATAAATGTTGAATTTTCTTACTTCTTATTCCCTCATTAATGAACAATTGTGAACTAATAAAAATTATAAGGCACATTTTAAATTTTATTCACTGTTTTTTATTGTAGTTGTAAAATTCATATAGCTATATAATAATAAAGTTTGTATTATTCTATATATAAAATATTGTATTATTAGGTTAAAGTAACTATTTTATTTTGTTATTGCTAATAGAGGGAATCTCATTCGCCGGAGACGAACAAGGTTTGGAACAAGATATTGAAACTGCATTTACTAATACACCTAAAATTTGATTTAATAAGATAAAGTAAAAAACGCTTATTAATTTTTTAATCGTTATTCTTATGTGAAAAGCCATCGTATAATAAAAAATTATGCCGGTTTTTATTTTATTTCGCTATCCTCCCTCAACTTATTTTTTTACAATGCGACAAATATGTAAGATGTAAGTTTTATTATTATTTTATTTTAATTTATTAAACAATTATTTTAATTTCCTTAAAATACTGTCGGTCGATCGGCACGCCACTGGAAATTGACCTCAAACGTCTAATCTTTGTACACAACTACATTGTTGCCATCGATCAGATACCCCTAATTTCCTTCTCTATCCATTCTCTCTTGCACTCGTTGATTTTCGCAAACTAATGTGTGATGAAGCTTTAGAGCGTTTTATGAATGGATCATTGTATCTTCCGAGTTCTTTCTATCTTTGATAAAATAACAAGCAACCCGTGCTATCACCAAGTCTCTTCCTATATTTGTACAACTGTACCTACTTTTTTATCTTTCTGTATACTCTGTAATATAAAGTTTTGAAATCAGACTGGCTTGGCAGAAAAACATACAGTTCATACTATTTTTTTCATAACAATCTTATTTATCCCAAGTCTTAAGCTTCAGTAGTCAATACATTAGTGTTTTCAATTAGTGTAGAAGTTTGTTACTCTAATATCAACGTTGACGTTCTGTTAAAATGACATTATATCAAGTTAAACTTCAAAATTAACACTTACTACCTGATAACAATTACTTAATAAGGTAAAACCAAAAAGCCTCAAATTTCTGTATAATTATTTTTAATTTTTACGTATGTTATGTTCTTTAAAATAAAAGAAGCGATTGCCATACATTACTAACATCTACAGATGCATGAGCAATACATTTATTTTTATTAGATTGTATTAAAAAGCCTCTTTTATTTCTCTTTTAGAGGCTATCGCTTCTTTCATTATAATTTTGGCGTTATTAAAATTTATTCTGTGCCCTGTGTCCCATGAATGCTGACAAATCTTAGATTTGTCAAAAATCTCCCTTTCTTAAATAATCTTTATGTTCTTTAATTAGAACATTTAAGGGTCTCGAAGTTCCACGATTGTAAAATTTATCGCATTCACATGGTATTTGGTATATTACATTTTTGTTTGTTGTTCTGTATTCATTGCTTTAGTATGTGATAAAATGGATTTAAGCTACCGCAAGCTGTTGCTAGAATATTCTATTAATTTTAATTGTATTTTTTTAGACATTGTGAATGATCGTAAACTTTTATTATAAAGTATAATTGAAACCACTAATTTCGAGGTTCTGAATGTGGCTTTAATAATAAAACTTTTTAGAGTTAGAGTCTCAGAAAATGTTACAACCTTTAATTTTCCTACTATCTTCTTTAAGAAGAGTAAAAAAACGTTACTTACTGATCTCTAACTGCCTCATTATTCTCGCTTTACACCTCTCCCTGTAGTCGGTCTGCGTCCTATTGTATTCCGTCATCACTTCAACAAATTTCCTAGATAACGTCGACTGCTGTATCTTTCGTATCCTCAGGTCCGCCGAGTTTTTGTTAGTGGTCTCTTCTTGGTCTATACTTTGTTCTATGACTGCAAAATAACAAGAAAAAAACACATATTATCATGAATGACGTAGAAGAAGAGAAATGAAGATAGAAATACTCTATCTTGGTTCGCAAACTTGGACGTCAAACCGAAACAGTCAAAGCTGTAGTGGATCTACTAAGAGAGCAGTTATTTATTGGGACTGAACAGTAGAACTCACTGCCAGAATTTCTTTAAAAATTTCAAAATACCGACTCTTCCTTCTTTATTCGTTTTTGAATCCGTTTGCTTAATCCGCAAGCACATATATCTGCTATTTCCGAAAGGCCATCTCACAACTATCCAGTTAGGAATGCGGAGCACGATCTTTATCTGCCAACCCCAAGCTCAGAACTAGTTAAAGGCTCAATACTGTACAGGGTGGTCGAAATTGGTCTGTTTTAACAGAGAAAACCAATTTCCTGAATAGATAGAGCAAAACCGACATAGATGTTAAGGGCTCGATTTCTGAGAAATGTTTAATGGCGTAAACCGCCTGTTGATATTTTAACTGCCAACTGAGATACGGGGTCTTTTTGAATTTTTTACAATTTTGAAAATTGCCCATAACTTTTTTATTTTGCGGAATAATACAATTCTGTACAAACGTTATTAAGGAATTTTTTGAGGCACAATCCAGTGGCGTAGTCAGTTTTTTTCTATGCTTGCCCTTTTTGTCAGAAATAATAAAAAATATAATTTTTTAAATGGAAATCATAGTTGGCTATGAGCTTAAAAAAATGCTGGCGTTTAACTCTTTCCAACGATATAAAGTTATGTGTATTTATTTCTAAAAATGAGAGAAATATTACGTTTTTTATCTTTGTATCGAAGCGGGCCTTGATTTTGTGTTTGGTTTGTTTTTTTTTGGTCTATTTGCCTAATTATTTTTTATCACAATTTAATATTCTATATTATTATTTATCTGCATAATTAAAGACTTTTGAAAAGGTAAATTAACATTCTATATTAGTATTAGTAATTACAATTGAAATCGATACAATAAACCAAACCAAACGTTTCTCAGAAATCGAGCCCATGACATCTATGTCGGTTTTGCTCTATCTAGTCAGGAAATATGTTTTCTCTGTTAAAACACACCAATTTCGACCACCCTGTACAATGCCAAAAAAGTCGCTTTCATTCTTTCCCGCATTCAGTAATCAACATTCATCAAAAGCAATTCAGGCCGTGTTCTGATTAATAATAACAATAATTTCTAATTCATTTCTGAGAATTTTTAATTTAATTACTAATTAATTTATGATTAATTACAACGCCAAAAGTATTAACATTACATCAACCCCAGTCAACAGAGCGTAAATTTTAAATATCAAAGGTTAAAAAAAGTCGGCGTCGAAAAATTGAGTTTTGCAAAAAATAACCGGGGTCCTGTTAATGAAAATTTAATTTTCGTTTTATCCACAACGTTTATCGTTCGGTGGAATGGCGGACGTTTGTCGAAAATTATGCCGGAAAACGATTAACGTTCATTTTTCCAGAATAAATAGTCATTTTCGGACGTAAAGCCTTCATTGTAATTTACCGAGCGGGTCACTATGAACAAATGCCGCAATTTTCTTTGTATCAAACTGACATAGTGTTTAATTTAGCTATTTTTTGTTTATTTAACGTAAATATCAAAATAAACCACTAAGTCATCTCAATAAACCAAAACACTTTACTGTTGCACTGGACGCGCGTTTTTCTCCAGTAAATTTTTATACTTTACGTACAGAGTGTCCTTTATTCGAAGGCCAAATTATGACAAAGTTGCACAATTTGCAAGTTAAAAATGTCTGAATACTTCCGAAGATATTTAAAAAAACGAAATATTGTAAAATTGTTTTTCATTTTTCCTGGTTTTATTTGAAGAGATCATGATTGGTTTTTGAAAGCTTATGACCTTCGAAATACCATGATGTAGCACACTTGCCTAAAAATTGTAGAATAAGGAAAAAAAGTGCAATGAAATTTAATTTTCAAATCGTCAATTTATAGCCCAACTTTCACGTTTTTCGCTCGTCTTATAGTTCTTGAGATCCCAATGATTTACCGAACTAAATCACTTAAAAGATAACTACAATACAATTTCTACTCAAAAACAATAATCTTAAGTAAGAAAACTCTGAAGATTAACCAGAGTCTTAAATTAATTCTGCCCCACGCGTAAACTAGTAACAGCCCCGAAATGTTTTCAATTTCGCAAACTTAATAAGTAATTTGCACTTGCCCAACTCCGTTGCTTTTCCCTTCACTCCTCTTTCTTTATCTCGCGACGTTAGTTATCAAGAAGGAAGTTTTTGAAATTGCAAGCGGAGTTGCGCTGGTGCAGCTCGACACGCCATTAAAACTTGAACACGACTTTAAATGTTTTGCTTCGCTAGTAAACTTCAAATATTAACAGTACAGTTTATGTTATAACGCGATATAATAGAAGAAATTAATACTAATAACTGGCTTTCCAGCTGAAATTGACTTTCTGTGTGACGTAGATATTGTACACAAGTCACGACTGTCCCACGTTGGGCGCCAAAATATGTGTGTAATATATATTATTATAAATATTCACATAATTTTAACTCTGACATAGAATGTTTTTGAGGTTTCTTCTTCTGATTGAAAGAATCTGCATATTATGGCTTCGTCTTCCAATCCCATAAGATTTAAATGTCCACTGACTACACCCACTACAATTGAGTTTTTCCTGTCTTATTTTTCTGATGAATGTTTTGACCATCCTAGAGATTTGTGGCCCTTTTTGGTCCACAAAAGGGTACTGGGCTTATATAGGATCGACATTTCTTGCCTTGAGTGTCAATTTTCGTGTGTTTCGGTCAATACGCTCGGTAAAATAAGATGTACTGAATAAAGAAACAGTACAGTTTATGTTATCACGCGATATAATAGAAGAAATTGATACTAGTAACTGTTTTCCTGCTGAAGTTATACTGTATGACACAGAAATTGCAACACCTAAGTCACGAAAGCCCCACGTTGGGCGCCAAAAATATGTGTGTAATATAGATTACACATAAAAATTCACATAATTTTAACACTGACATAGAATGTTTTTCAAATGTCTTTTTCGGATTGACAACTGCATATGGCTTCGTCTTCCAATCCTATCAGGTTTAAATGACTATCGAGCTTGCAATGCCCTACACTTTTGAGTCCCACTACACTTTTGAGCTGTTTTGATGAATTTTTCTACCATCCTAGAGATTTGTGGCAAGTTTTGTAATCAGTTTCGAAGCATCACAGAAGGGTAACGATGAGGACTTATATTAAAACTAGAAAATCAATTCTTGACAACATTATTGAAATATATTTTATATACATAGTTTAGCCACGAATGACAAAGTAATCGACTGATTTTCCGACAAACTATTAAATCCTTCACTAACAATACGCGCTAAATTTAACTCTCCACCACTCTCCATGAACCATGCCGTAATATGTCCTTCTAAAATTTAAACTATAAACATTTGCCGGATTTCTGGAACAACTACAAATTTACCGGTGTTAACGAGCAGTGAAAACAACGGTAACCGCTGACAGCCCGTCATTATTTCGGTTATTAAAACGTCATAGGGTTTCCTTGACCGGAAGTATTCGCCAACCGCTACAATATTGCGCTGGACATTGTTTTATTATAACTATGCATCAGGCGAAAACAAAGGTAGTTCATAAAGACTATCCGGTTCGATAGCTCTAGAATCCTAGTTATAAACATGTTGTAGTGTCGTTTTTTATATCCTGTACAATTTTAATTTTTATGTGGTATTCCCCATTCACATATCGTGTATTAAAGAAACAGAATTATGATATTTATAATAATAACACAAGTGGTAACAATCCTCAAGCTAAATAGCGGACATATACTAAGGTCCTTAAAGAACACGAAGTGCCTATTGAATTCAAATTACCATCAAAATTACCAATTAAATTCTATCGGGGTTATAGATAGCAGACAGACAAATAAAAGGTAATAATAATAGAAGTAATTAGAATGTTTCTACTCACCCTTTAACTTGGCACGAACTTTGTTGGCAGTTTTCTTGATGTCGCTCATCAGGTCCTCCAATTCTTGTTTAGTTTCTGAAATAAAAAGAAAATAAACGATAAAATAAATATTATAAGCAGATAAAACAATTAAATTCATTTTAATTGTTTTATCTTTACTTCTTCTCGAACGTTTTTTAATTGCTTCCATTTTTCAAAATGTTTGTATTCCTTTTCATAAATTATTCGGGAATTAAATGGAAGTAGTTTGGATATGGCGTTTGTCGTGTTATTTCGTTTTGAGCAATTTCTGGCTCCAATTCAATCAGCAATCGACACGAAAGAGAATTAAAAAATACTGACTCAAAACTGACAACTAAAGAGACAGCTTTATTTATTTGTCAAATTACATAGAAACCAACACCAACCCAGCACAATATTTTTTCCACTCGTAATAAATTCCTTGAAATAATGATTTCTGAATATTTTTTAAAAAGTAACTCGCTATGGAAAAAAATATTGTTTTATACACGACGATAAAATTGCATTATCGTCTTGTATAAAAAATAACTATTACCTATAGTTAAGTAGGTATAGGAGGAATATCATCAAATATTAATATCATCCCCGTACACTGAATAAAATATAAAACAACAAACACCAAAAAATGTCTGTTAAAATGAAAAAACAAAACAGAAAAGAAATGAAAATGTATTATTTAGAATCTATTTTCACAAACACCTTCGTGAAATGTGATAACCCAATGGTGAAAAATCTACTTCAAAGCAATAGTCAAACCAATTTTTTCAGACTGAAAATTAATGTTTAGTATTAACACAGGATAACCCTTTCCATTTACATCATCCTGTAAATAATTCTCCCTGCTTTTGCGATCATTATTACATCGTAGGGCTTTTTTGCGCTTGTATGCGAGCGTATACGTGCGAATATGACGAGAAGCATCGCAAAAGATAATAGAGCGAAACAAGCTATCGCAAATTGGTTTGACGTAAATTATTAAATCTATACCCCCTGCCCACGCAAAGTACACATACGCACCGTGTCGATTCATGAATCCAACAACGACTATGATCCAGGACCGAGTGTCGAGTATTATTGTTTTTCTATCTTGATTAACGTGGTGTTATTATTACAGAGTTTTGCGTCAATTTTGATTCACACATAAAGACAATGTACTTATCGAATAATTTTAATTATTACATTTGTTTGTGTATTACTTCATGCGTGACTACAGCAAATACGAGTATGTTCGTTGTAATTGAGGGATATTTTGTATATGTATTTTTTTTTAAATTTCTGTTGAAAGAAACTATTTTCTCGGAATACTACCATTAAAAAGTAAACAAAACTCGAAATATATGTTTTATAAGGTTATTATATCTATAAATTTTATAACCAAAGTTTCCACTTGTCAATAATACGGAGGAAAACAAAATGTTGATATTTTGGTGAAAGTTTAAAACACCTTGTGGAATATGTTAACAAAGCAAGAAATTTAAATACAATTTTATCATCTAGGGACGTCTTTTCCCGATAGTTTGTTTTTTGATTCATCTCTAATAGCTTTACTTTTATTTGAGATACTAGCGTGTACTCGCGACTTCGTTCGCGTCGAATTAAATCATTTGTAATGGTGATGATAAAGCAAAGCAAGAATTTCCATTAACATACAAACTGGATAACATTTTCTCACATTTATGTCAGCATGAGAAAAAACAATCGAGAAACCCCCCTCAGCTTTAAAGGTCAAGCAGTTTAAGCAGAATCGTGATTACTCAATGGTCATATTTTATGAAACACCCTGTATAAATTTTTAAAAAATCTTAATATGTAAAACAACAAAATAAAATAAACATGTTTAAGAGTATTTCCGAAAAACTCACCGGCTTTTAAATAAAAAATATTCTAATATTTCAGGGGTGGTTTCACCCCCTTAGAATTCGAGTTTCAAAAAATCTATTCTTATCGAACCTCTACACCCTAAAGTCAATCCGTTTTCCAAAAATCAGTTTTTTATGTCAAGCGCTTTAAGCAGGATCGTGATTAATCAATGATCAATTTTTCGAAACACCCTGTATACATTTTTAAAAAATCTTAAAATATGTAAAAAAAATATATGTTTAAGCGTTTTTCGGAAATTTGACCGTTTTTGAGATAAAAAATATTGTAATATTTGAGGGGTGGTTTCACCCCCTTGGAACTGGAATTTCGAAAAATCCCTTTTTATCGAACTTCTACACCCTAGAATCAACCTGTATGACAAAGTTAAGCTTCTTACGTTGAGTGGTTTGAGCAGGATCGTGATTAATCAGTGAGTCAGTCACTTAAGGATTTTATAATTAGTATAGATTTGGTATAGATTAATAAAATTAAAATAAAAATAAAATAAATTATATATTTTAACTAATTTATTATTAAATATTATTATTCGTTATTATTACTATTAGTCCAACCTACAGCAATTTCAAAAATATGGTTTTTAAGATAATTACAAAAAATCTAATTTTAAATAGTTTCAACATCCTGTAACTCTAAAACTATACATTTCCATATCCATGTTTATAGGAACTTTCTTTCATATATTCTGATTAAGAATCAATGAGTACTTATTTAAAACTTTCGCAAGTTAATGATATTATTTTTTTTAAGTTGCTATTAGACTTGGATCAAGCAAATTAATAAAATTACGTTTAGCTCATAAAAGAAGCCGAAAATGACAAAATATCAAGAGACAGCTTCTAATCGGTATTAAACTGCTTACACTATTTCGCTAACAAGAGAAAAAAAGTCAGTGGCGTACATGCTTTTTTTAGAAAAATATTCCAGTGATAACCCATATGCACGTCCCTGGTGAATATGTCTACACTTTTTTAGTTTTAAAATATTTATAGTAACTTTTACCCTCAAAATTTCATTAAAAACGCTAAGAGTACTTGGAATAAAATTATAATAAATAAAAAAATATTAAGAATTTAACATCCTGTAGCTACGAAACAAAGCAAAGAATCGGACCTATCTATACTAATATATAAAATCCTTAAGTGACTGACATGCTGATTAATCACGATCCTGCTCAAACCACTCAACGTAAGAAGCTCAATTTTGACATACAGGTTGATTCTAGGGTGTAGAGGTTCGATAAGAAGGGATTTTTCGAAATTCCAGTTCCAAGAGGGTGAAACTAGGGAATGCAATCCCGCACCAAAATACCAATCCCGCAAACCCGCGGGATTAAAGCAATCAATCCCGCGGATCCGCAAAATTGCGGGATTGTAAACAATAGTCATACATTTGGTCCTAAATGGTACAAAAGGCATTGTACATTTTGCATAGGCCCACAATATATTGATATAGCGTGTATCTTAAACTAGCTGTACAGAAATTTGGACACCGATGTATACAGGGTGTTCAAAAAATATATTTAATATTAAATAAACTTAAATTTTATTATAATTTATCTACTTATTTTATAAATAAAAATATTATTCTGATTGAAGTTTTTTTTTAACTTGTGTTAGTTATCTGCTTTTAGATACACTCTATTTCAATAATTTTTTGGCATATGCAGAATGTACAAAGCTTTTTGTACCATTTAGGGCCATACGTATGACTAAAAATGCATGTTTTTTGAAAAAACGTCGTATTTTCCTTAAAACAAAAAAAAATAAAAAACCGATCAAACTGTTTTTTCTAATTTCAATACAGATTTGTCGTACTTGGTAAAAATTTCGATTTTTAAAAATTTTAAATTTGCGGTATAAAAGATTCTTGATCAAATTTTCACACTCTTATAAAACATCCTGTATACGAGAATTCGCTAAATATATTTTCGAAAACCACATCAGCATCTTAATCACAATAGATTCATCTAAAACCTGCTTCAAACCGCATCCCAAAATCTTTTTTAGTTCAAGAGATATTCAACTTTAAATTTACCCTAAAATTTTGCTTGTCCCAATAATTATGTCCGACAATTTATTTGACGAAATTGTTCACAAGTACTAGTTAAACGCTTTTCTTCACTTACGCACATACGCCAGAAAGAAATCTAACAACTAGCCTGTTTGTTTCACTTATTTTTAATGGCCAAGCCGTAAGGGGAATCCCCCGAGTTCCGAGCGTCGACGCATCGGCCCGGAACGAAGTGGATTGATCTTAATCGAGATCGATTTGGTTACCCAGTAGTAATGTGTTGATCCCGCGGTAAATCCCGCAACTCTGATCCCGCGGAATCTCAGAGGGATACCGCATTTGCGGGATTGCATTCCCTAGGTGAAACCACCACTCAAATATTACTGCAGCTACAAAATAAAGCAGAATCAGACCTATGTTAATTTGAAAAATGAATCTTATTTTTACGTGAACAAGAGAGAACATGTGCCATCTCTCTCCCCACGAGAGATGGTTTTTTGAAACACCCTGTATACCCAATCTGATGCAACTTGATTGTCTCCTGTGTCCGCACTTAAGGGACGAAACTGAGACCGGGGGTGGTCGATGTGCACAACCAACCCCCGCAGGACGATCCCTTTGACCTATCTATCTGTTGTGACAGCAGAACGAGTCAAATGCTGAGGGTGGGCGTTACGGACGTAATGAGTTTGGAAACTATTTAGGGATTCTGTGAGGGCGGTTCGGCGATGCGATGCGAAACATCTAGCACGGAAAAAACTACTTGCTGTGCGAGTTTTTCCTATGAAAACGTAGGAGATTGCTTCTCTTATTACGGTCTTGTTTTTTCCATAGAAAAGTTTTAGAGAAATATGACCGGGGAATGAAAATCGGCAAGTTAAAAATAAATTTTCTTCCTTACAGTGTCGCAACCACGCAACCACGGCCAAAAGTGACTCTTTTTAAGCTATCAAATCGTCAACTGTATTTTTTTTAAATATGTGGGATATACAGGGTGGTCCGAACTGTATTCCGGAAACTTCGGTAGCATATTCTGCAGATAAAAATAAGTAAAAAAGTTCGTGTAAATGTATGTCCTAAAATGCTTAGTTTCGGAAATACAGGATGTAGAAGTTTCATTTTTATTTCGAGATTTTTTCTGAATAATTTCTCAAGTAACGTCA